CACCCCCCGGCGCTGGGGACACGGTGGCCTCTGGGGGGCTGGGGCTGGGGGGGGAGGACACGGGCTCCTCATGGACCAGGGCTCTTCAGTGAGCAGGGTGGAGGATGAAGGCTCTTTGGTGATGGGGATGATGGACGAGGGCTCTTCAGTGAGCAGGAGGAAAGCTCTTTGGTGACCATGATGAAGAACTGGGGGTCTCTGGTGATGAGGATGAAGGACGAGGGCTCTTCAGTGACCATGATGAAGGACAAGGGCTCTCTGGTGAGGATGATGATGGACAAGGGCTCTTCATTAACCATGATGAAGGACGAGGGCTCTTCAGTGACCATGATGAAGGACGAGGGCTCTTCAGTGACCATGATGAAGGACGAGGGCTCTTCAGTGACCATGATGAAGGACGAGGGCTCTTCAGTGACCATGATGAAGGACGAGGGCTCTTCAGTGACCATGATGAAGGACGAGGGCTCTTCAGTGACCATGATGAAGGACGAGGGCTCTTCACTGACCACGCTGAAGGACGAGGTCTCTCTGGTGATGATGATGAAGGACAAGGGCTCTTCAATGACCACGCTGAAGGACAAGGTCTCTCTGGTGGTGATGATGATGAAGGCCCAAGGGCTCTCCAGTGCCAACGGTGAAGGCTGAGAGCTTGGAGGACAACCATGATGAAGCCCAAGAGCTTTCTCCTGCTGGACATCAGCTCCCCGAGGAGGATGATGAAGGAGCACGGTGCAGGATGAGGGTGATGCCCAAGTTGGGGGGGGCTCTGTGAGGACACCCCTGGGGACAACAGAGGACACAGATGACACCCAAGGCCAGGAGGTGGGGGGGGTCTGAGGACAAGGACGACGCCGAAGGCTCTCCAAGGCCACCGGTGAAGGACGAGGGCTCTCCACGGACAACCAAAGGGGGGGGTTTCTCCATGCTCAAGCCTCTTCTTCAGCCTCTTCCCCGAAATCCTCCTCCTCCTCGGCCGTGGCGTCCTGGTACTGCTGGTACTCGGACACCAGGTCGTTCATGTTGCTCTCGGCCTCGGTGAACTCCATCTCGTCCATGCCCTCGCCCGTGTACCAGTGGAGGAAGGCTTTGCGGCGGAACATGGCCGTGAACTGCTCCGAGATCCTCTTGAAGAGCTCCTGGATGGCCGTGCTGTTGCCGATGAAGGTCACGGCCATCTTCAAACCCCGG